TCCAAGGATGTCCAAGAAGATTGTTGATACAAGTCGTTTGCTAGCCAGATTCTGCTCCACAAATTCCTGTAGCAACAGAGTAGCATCAATGGCTGACCTCTGCTTACGACCTCCCAATTGGCTAGAGTCAAGTATATCTGTTGTGTTAGCAATATATGACAATCTGTTGGCATATATTCTTTCCAGTAATCTGGTCAGGCAGGGCAAGATGGAAATAGGTCTGTAAGCCTTAGGTGCACTGTAGTCCATTTTTTTCCTCTTAGGGATGATAATACCCACTGCCTGTTTCCATTGCTGAGGATGTTGTCCGCTTTCAAAGAAGCATTTGTAAGCCTTGAAGAAGAAGTCCGGAATAGTAGTGATGGCTGCCTTGATAATGGTCCAATCCAGACAATCATGACCTGGGGCAGTCATCTTTTTTGGTGCAGCATTTATCATCTCATCAATAATGAGTTCAGGCTAGTCCCAATGTCTTTCTATTTCGTTCCTTGCTGTTAAATTGTAAGAGGTCAAAGGAATAAATTCCTCTGCCTCAGCTGATAAGGTTGAAGTTGGAAGACTTGGGAATAGGGTCTGGGCCAAAGCCTCACTTTTGGCTTCAAATGTTGTTGCTTTTGTTGGCTGAGATTGGTGCTTTGGTGTATAGACCAGAGTTGGGATTATTCATGATTGATAATTTTCAGGCCTGGAGTAATTGTAGGCAGTGAATATCAATTTGTCCGTAGCTGATGCTGAAAAGTTCATCCAGTGTTGGTGCTTAGTGTGCTGAATGCGTTGAAAATATTTATTCCTTGCAGCTCTAGCCTTGTCCATTATGTCAGTTTCATGGTCCTTCTTCTCTTGGCGTCGAAGCTTATGGAATGAATGACGAAGTATAGCAAGGTCCTTGGTCCACTGTTACAGGCTGTTGCCTTGTAGATGGGATCCGGAGTTTATCCGGCTCCTAGAAGTTGATTATGTCAGCAATAAGCGAGACAACATCTAGGGGGTGATCCCACAAGTATTTAGTTTTTCTCATTAGACACAAAATAACCCCATTTTGGATACACTCGTGCGGACAGCTATTCACTCTGGTGCCATCCTTTCACATCCACCATGGCTTTGATCTTGGTGCGAATTTGAATAGCGGAATTGACTCTTGAGCAGCAGCTTGTACAACCTCTTATAATGTTGAAGCAATAAGATCAACATCTTGCCTGTCTATGGCCATTTCTAGTGTTTGCTGCATCAATTCCTGCTGGTGTAGAATATGAGCCTTAAATTATTTCCAGTTGGCTTTTTTAACATTGAACCTTGTAGGAAGTGGGTTAGTATTTCTGTTAGTATTCAGTGCTTCATCCAGGCTTGAGTCCATTAAACGAGTGTCAAAGAGTATCACTTCATGATCTGATCCAATAGATTCTCCATATTGCCAGTTGCCCCACCTAAGGTGTTTGAATCCTATGGCAAAGGTAAGGTCAATGATGGAGGTGCTTTTTGAATTGGATCTGTGAAATGTCCCTCCATACTGTTCAATGATTGATGGCGAGTTGAGGAGCTGGGCATTGGCATTATCCAAGTACTGGGTCAGCTTATTGGCAAGAGGTGAACTGTTCTGGATAAGTGGATTCCAAGATGAATGATGCAAGTTGAAATCTCCGAGGAATAGCATGGGCTTGTCCAGTCTGAATTGTAGGTCTGTTACGGTTTGACCGTGGTTTAGCTTAGGTGGAGACCTAAGCGGAGTTTGGGGGCGTATTAGGGAGAGTGTTACATATTATCTTGTATCAAGCGACTAAGTTTCACTTGGCCACATTACATTGGAGCCAGGAAGGAATGTGAGACGGCGAAGTAGAATTGCCAAGTGAGAGAGTCAGCTAGATGGCAAAGATGACGACGGGCAGTGGCGGAGCAATATGTCATTCTCACCAACAGAGTACGTACTGGATGAGCTAGAAGGATGTACAAATAGTCATTGCCCGTAGTTGTGATACTTCTCTCTTCATATAGTTTAATCTTTCTAAAAGTACACTACAACCAGCTTGGTTTCGTCACAAGGTCCAAGAAGCGTTCCACTGTAAGATTGGTTGAGTAGTTGGAGGTCGGCTTCTCATTGTAGATGTGAACCACATAAAATGATTCACTGGATAGTTCTACCCCCAAAATTTGAAGGTCAGGGTCTGTCACCAAGTCATATCTAGGGGATACTTGAAGCTGGCTAGATTTCTTGACATAGGTAAGGACCCTGGGCCGCAAATTGGTATTGAGAACAGGTGGTATAATATTAAAAGCTGAGTGGTTTATAGGTCGAAAAGAGAGTGTTGGTTGGTGATAGAACATGTATGGTTCCTGCACAAAAATTAAGTCTGATTTCTCCTTGAGGGCTACCTCAAAGAGTGACTGCAGGATCTCTCGACACCTTGCAGTATTATGTTGACTAAATTTGAGTATGTCTAGCATGTTAAAGTTTTATAGAAGTTACAGTCTAATCTTTGTAATGCCATATGAGTGTTGGACTTGTAGTTTGCACACTGGACTGCATGGTGGATGCAACTTTGGGTTGCACTACAAGTATTACACTTGTGGCTGTTGGTGTAATGTGGCCCAGGACAGATGACACACACTGGAGATTTCTTGCACCACATGGAGTGGTAGCCAAATGTCAGGCACTTTCTGCACTGAGTCTTCTGAGTTGATTTTTGGTAGCCAACTACCTTCAAAAGTTGTCCTCCAATGAGCACCCCAGTCTTTATCAATCTTGTCATCTGCTCCTCAGTCTTCACACAAAATGCCACTGAGGCTCTCACTAATTTACTTGGTGATTTTGTAAGCCATCTTGCCTGGCTTCGTGTATTGATCCCATCATTATAGGTCTCAATCTCCTCATTTAATTGTTGAATGGGGATACAGGTTGCAACCCCATGTACCACCATTTTCGGCCAGTTGGTCACTTTCTGGGCCTTCTGAATTGGCCATCCTGCAAAGACAACCTCCTATTTTTCCTGGCCCAAAATTGTCTCTGTGGGAGATGCATCCATACAACTGAGGACCAGGTTCCCCTTTGGTGAAGTATGGACTTTTGAGATAGCCCTTTTCCCTAGGATCTTGTTGATCCTTTCTCTGATGGTGAAAGCCTGGTAATTTGGCAGGCTGCAGCCTGACTTGGTCACCAGGGTGATGACATTCTCAGTGTTAATAATTTGTGCAGTTGTGGGTGGAGCTGCATTGGTGGTTGAAGAAGTAGCTGTTGGAGTGATAGGCTTAGTATGTGTAACTTGGCCTGTGCTGCTGATTGTTGGTGCAGCAGGTTTTCGACTGAGCACCTTCATGACTGGCCTAGCTGGGGTAACAGTGGCTGGCTTATTGTTTGAAATTCCCTCCCTGACCTTCTGTGCATAGGAAGGGACTGCTGGTGCCACAAGCTGGATTTGTGGTCTTGGTGGGGTTGGAATTGGTGCTGAGTTTATTGGTTCAGGAGTGGAGACCTAGACTGGTAGTCTAGTGGTTATCACTTTCCCCTTCTCAGTAAAGCTTCGAAAAACCTCAATGAGGTCCAAGACTGCCACTTGCTTTTCTTTGTCATCAGCAAGCCTGTATGCCTTAATAAGCAAGTCACGTGCCTCTAAAATTGATGTTTCAAAAGTATGTTTGATGCTGTGTGGTGCAGCAATTTTGACCATTTTTGATGGCTGAGAGTTGGTGTGGTTGGTGGCTGAAATACCTCGTTTACGAGGCTGATCAGCAAATGGAGTTTTAATGAATAAGTTTTTTGTACCCAAATCAGTTGATGTGATTGGGTCACTGCTAAAAATGTCAAACTTAGATGTCAAATTGACAGGTCGAACAGAAGTAAGTAGCCTTGAAGGCTTTGGTGATAGACCTGTATTCTAGATTGATGAAGATAGTCTAGGGACGTCTGTCATGTCCATTTCTGTTGATGAAGGCAGGCTTGGTAGGCTCGCTGGTGATGAGGGAGACTTTTCAGCCATATTTTTGTTGTTTATGGCTGACATAAGCAGCCGGAAAACGAATACGGGCACTGGACTTGATAAGGCTAATTAGTCAATATTGTTCAATTTGTTCAAGCAGTAGGTAGGCAACCAAGGTTGGCTCTACTCAGATAACACATGAATAACTGCAGTGAGGAAGACATCATACATTCAAAGCTACGGGGAGAAAGCCTTAATGAGCCTGCAGAACAGGATTTCAATCTAGGCTGGCTGAAGAATGCCAGAAGTATAAAAGAATGGTGCTATGAAGTAAGCCACGTGGTTGTCATGCGTGATTACAGATTATGTAATTAGTTTCACTTAGCTTGTAACTTTGATGAATGCGCCCTGCAACCATTTAACTGGGATTTATTATATCTTTGATGAAGAAGCTTGACATGAGCTTGCGGTCGAGCCTCTTGCCTCAATTAAAGTAGCTATAACCTGGAAACTTCAGACATGCTAGACGTGCTTGCAAGTAGATGTAATGTGATTTAACTACACATGGCTTTGGCTAGAAAATTCAGCAAAATTTAGACTGCAAATTTAAGGATCAGGACTCCTTTAACGATTTATTTGTTGATACAATTACAAATAATTTTTAGTAACCTTAGTATGCCCGAATATTTTGGCAAGGAGGGCTTATATATTTGCATTTCACTGCTGTCCAGATTTATGCAAAAGCGAAAAGACCAAATATTGACTCGAGATAGGTACTATTTTCCTGTGATATTTCTAGGCAATTTAGTTCAAAAATAGACCTACTCTTGAATTTGAGGTTGCGTATATACGAATAAAAAGCTTTTCGCTTATGGAAAAGTTTTCACACGTATCGCCAGTCTTGCTATAATCCAACTTCATATACGGAACACGTGTAATTACTAAGTCTAATTATATAGGTAGAATTGTAAATTTTTTGAAAATGATGAAGTTAAAAAGTCTCTTCTGATCCCGCATGAGACAATCCAAGTGTTACGCACTGAGGATAGTTTAGTGATACATTCATCCCAGTTTAATCTGCAAATATATATGTCAGAGTAGAAGACTAGCAGGTTCATTTTCTAAGATGTTCTTTATCCTTCCCAAAAAAATTTGTGCAGCCTCTTCATCTGCCTTCTGTACTTCAAGGCTAAATATTAAAGACTTTTCTTCAGCATGAAAATTTTCGCTCATTTGCGGGGGCAATATACCAGTCGACTTTTTACCGGATAAGAAGTCGATGATGTCGAGCTCTTTAGTGTTTGAGATACTGGTTTTTGGTAAACTGTGCTGTTTAAGTCGGGTCTGAGGTGAAAAGTATGCGCGCATACGTCCTGATTTCGAGCTAGTTTCAATTCCTAAAATTTCATCGAATATTTCTGTACTCGTGGCTTTGCGTGATTTTGTTCGAGGAAAATTTTGGTTCGCAACTTTTGCTGCACGACTGATGAGGGTACTTTCTGGTAGAGAGATACCAAGTGTATTCTTTACTCTTTCTTGAACCCTGTGCATAGAGTCTAAAGAGATAGACAGCTCTACTTTAACAAAAGTTGGTATATTGACGCTATTACTGGCATCCGTTGCTGGAGCCGTTTGTTTGGATACAACCTCTGGCATGGATATTGACGAGGCAACTTTTATATTGCTCAAGTCTAAATGGGACAAACTATGCAACATACGAGATAATTCTGAAGGGTATGACTCTGAGACTTTCCCGAGGTATGCAAGGACATCTCCCTTGAGTAGACGATTATTTGGGCCTGTTGGTGTCATTTTATCGATAGTTGCGTGGTTTAGATTGTGCAACCGAATTAGGTACTCGACGGAAGGTAGTAGCGAATATGTTTGTTTCTTTGCTATTTCAGAGACATGATCCAGGTGGTTATTCGAGGGTTCTTCTCTTGGAGGAGCCTGTAATTCATCTTTTGATGCATTCTTTACGGGGATAGATTCTGAACTTTTCTTTTCCGATGATATCTCTAGATTGTTCAAGTCGTCGCCGACCTCAGCGAAAACGCCAATTCGGGTACCGACTTTGATACCTTTACTGCCATCACCTTGAAAAATCTTTGCAACGACACCATCATCTTGAGCCTCTACGTCCATTGAGGCCTTGTCCGTTTCAATTTCAAGTAACACATCTCCGGCAGAGAAGGAGTCGCCTTCCTTGACGTTCCACCTCGCAATGTTTCCCTCTGTCATTGTCGGTGATAATGCTGGCATAGTAAAGTTCTGAGCCACTAGACCTATAGCTGAAGTCCGAAAGCCTATTCTCGCAATCAGAATCTATCCTTAACTTGTATCCTCGAGATAAGGGTTTTACCTCGCATATTTGCATCTTGCCGTACTTTCCGAACGGAAAGCCTTGAGCATTGGCGACATGCAGTAATGATGGATACCATTTCAGCCCAAGAATAAATTGGCACTGTCGTAGAGCTTGTGGTTATAACTGTTGATTCGCTTGGATTCCCATCAGAAGTTGGGTTAGAGGCGCGCTAGTACATTTAGAGATTAAATTTTGATATCCTAAGCTTGACAACTCAGCACATATTGATAATTAAAGTGAGCGATAGTGGATGGAAAACCCCTCAATTACATTATTCTAACAACTTTTTAGATGTTTGCCGTTTCGCGTGGCCATACGCGTAGGCTTTTTGATTCCTTTCTGCTACTTAAACCCATGAGGTGCACTAGGACACGATGCCTTCACAACAGTCCTCTCTTGTTTAGCGCAAAAAAAGTTTCGAACTTATTAAAAGATGGTAAAAAGATTCCAACTAAGACCTCAAGTCCGGCTAGCTCGCTGCGTACTGGATCCTCGCGCAACAGACAAATTCTTAATGATTTACCAACGTCTTTGACCAGCACCTACCAAACCTATGAATCAGTACTCGCAAAAAAAACATATCCAACTCTCCTTTACATCGCTCCTTCTTCAATTGTATATCATGTTACATCATATACAGCCGCTACCTTTTGTTTTTCCTACGGTATTTTGAGTTACTGGAATAATTATCTTTGTGCGCCTCCCGATATCGCTATTTGGATACCTTACGCCTTTGGTGGGGTATCACTAGCCATGATTCTTTTTGGTATCAGATTTCTCCGCAACCCATTAAGGATCATACGTAGTATTACTGCTGTACCAGGCCTAGTCGACCACAAGCCAATTTTACAGATAGAGATTCTACTAAAGAAGTCTTTTCCGATACCCTTCCTCCCGGCTCGCGTGTTAATAGTTAAACCCCACGAAATTTGCATACCCACGCCGCTTGTTTCACGTGTCAGCGCAGAAATATCGCAATCAGAGCTACGGCGACAGAAGCTTGAAGAACAGCTACGCAAGCAGCGTGAACTTGAGTACGAACGCTCTCATATCATGTCTGCAGGAATCCGGCATATGAGTCGTGCTCTGAGCAAAGGGTGCTTTTGTATCTTTAGAGCAACGCAGAGATCTTTCACTCAGAGCAATTTCCTTGAAATAAAGATCAGAGGTAAGATATACAAGCTGGATCTTGAGGGTGGATGGGGACTTGATGGAGGAAGAGCGATTGAACGTCTTGTAAACTTGGAACCGAATTCAAATTCCAGCTTGGTTTCTAAGCTAATCCGTTAGGGTAAGGTTTAAACCAGATCACCGAACTCACACATATATCGGATCGTAACTTTGCCATGTCTGACATCGTAATACAATTAATATTTCCTCTAGAGCGCAAATTTTCCTGCAAAAATGTAAAAATATCATCTCACAGAAAAATTATACGCTGTAATGAATAAGATTCGTCGGAAACACGAGACCATAGACCTAAAAGGTGCTTTCAGCGCGCTCAGGCACCCAACTTAAGTCATCACGCGTTAGCCCACACATTCTTCGAGTTTAACAGTGGAAATGCAAGATCAGTCCATAACTTAAGACAGGGATTGTCCCTTTGTACTCAAAAACGCAAGTGGAGCATACTAATGCGTCTAGTCTACAATGGTAAATCACGCTCTTGATATTCGAATATAATCAAGGTTTGCGTGTTTAACTTTAAGACATGGCGTGGATCGAAGGCTGAGAATACTAAGGGCGGCGTAGCTTTGTTTATTCGCTGAATTATCCACAGCTATTAAGGTACTTCTCAGCTTATAAATAGCCTCCCATCACAGGAGACTTCTATTCGTTGGCATACCTGAATATTCTTTTTAAGTCCTTCCTGGGTCTAATATTTGGAAGAATGCACCTATCATAGTATATAGTCCGTGGCTGATTAAAAGCACACAGAATAGTTATGAAGATAAAGGTAGCCACTACGTTCTGTTGCTCATATATTGTTACGATCATAGTCTGCACAAGTAATGGAGGGCTTCACAGACAAGACTGAGTGATTATATTATACGATTTTAATTATGTAAGATCATATTAATGCATGACTCAAATGTGAGCCGTGCTAATTATCAGGAGCTTAAGGATCAATTAATGTTGAAACACATTACATGAGTACATTAGACACTCAATGAGAATGGCTGTAGAGCAAATCGGACATGTATGTAACCAGGTGCATTTACTTCTTATGTAGACCATGCGTTCATCATTAGATATCCATTTATCCTCAGATAGTCTAAATACATTCGCTAAGAAGTAGAATATACATTCCACATTCTTCATATACACATATACATACTGTCCTACCGCAATACTTATCTAACCTCGTAATTACGACATATAGCTTAAGAATTACACAATGACAAAGGCGCTGAGCTCGTATTTGGCTTAGATTGCACCTTTTCAGCTGCGATTGTGAAAGGACGGAACATAAGCTTCTCGCTGACGTATACCCAAAATCAAGTTCATGTTCTATCTAGAGGAAGATCCTACGGAAGGATTTCAAGAGTGTAAGCAGCTACGCGTCGCGTATGGCGAGTCATTACATAAGCATTAACAACGCTTGACCACAAATATGTAAGCGCTTTCCAAGAGACCGGTTAAGGTCAGGTTCCAAATTTTCTCAGCAACAGCCTGTAACAGCGGTATGAGGTTTCCGAGTGCGCGTTGTATACTTGGCAAATGGTGTGGTGGGCGTAAGAATGAAAGGGTATCACGTGGTGTCTCGTGGATCCTAACTACAACGGATCTTGTGTAGAGCTTAAGACTAATACGTGAATTCTATATCCTTCAAGTGTAGGATGTCTATGTGTCTACATACATTGATTTCTCCTTACTCCTCAACGCTAGTAGATCTACTTCTGTGGTCGCGGGCTGTGACCACAGGCTCTGACAGTGCGATTTTCTGTGCGTGAGGTCATAGGACAATTACGATTACGTGTGTGCCGTGTTTCCTACATCTAGCTAATTCGTGCCCTGTAGATCCATCCGGGATCCACAGGTATATCCACGAGACCGATACAAATCGAGCAACCAACATGGTTTGGAGAGCTCGAAATACAACCTTGACCTCACCTCGTCAATACGATCATTGTCTTTATAAAGCCAAAATTTCTTGTCTGTAATCAGCACCACTGAGCTCCTGTCGCCGGATCAATTGATTTTGGTACATAGCAGAGCAAGTCCAGAATAAAATCAGACAATTAATGAAATCTAGAGAAAGAGGATTTACTACTTCTCGCTGTATACACAGGGAATTGTAATTATCAGCGCCGATCATAACAATCTATATTGCTAAGCAACCACATCCAGACCGCAACATTGTTAGCCTCCGTAGCTTCCATCCCTGCCGTACTGGCGCAGACAATAAAAATCCAAAGAATTAATCCCGTAACAGCTCCATCTACATCATCTTCAGTACATCAATGAACAAGGAGCTGCCGTCGTGGCTTCAAGATAGATCATGGTGACCTTGGATAAAGGAGCAAGTACCTAGCCACACTTCGTGTCTTCTATACTTCTTTAATATCTCCTTTTTAATAGTGCAATGCCTTGTAATTCTCTTCCTGTCATGGATTTAGGAGCCTTATTACCTTCGTTATGTCCTCTCCTATACTAATGGAACGATGATCATTTCCAGATGTGTGGCTGCCAGAAAGATTCGTAAAGCCAACGTACGCGGACTTTTCCAGTACTGATATCAGAGCTAAGACTAACGAGAAAGCTAACCCACTAAGTCGTTCCGAAAGACTAGTTAGCTGGATGCTATAGATCTGTTTGTATCGATGGAAGTCACTCACCATCGTGCGAGCCTCATTTTAACTTCATCCATCACTCGCGCTTCGGAATAAGTCGAAGGTCGTGTTGAATTTTCGAAATATCCTTGGCCAAGGGTTTATGACATAAAATAGCTCACTCTAACTTCTTCATACCAAATCGGGTAGCTAGAAAATCCCAAAAACCTTCGTAAAGAGAGATCCTGCTGGTTAGCGTTGGTGTTGATAGTAGCGCGGTAGACACATGGAGAGAGCTGAACGTTCGAGTGGGACGCTGTCATTATGTGTTGAGTGCTCATCAACCGGCAGAATCACATTCATTGGCTAAGTACGGCCATACATTGACCGTTGTTGCGTGAAGTGAAGGAAACCTACCCCTTTATCATCAAATGTCTCTTTATAGATTAGTCTCTGAAATTATGATATAAATCAATAATTTCGCGTTCGCCGTATGCATGCAATTATAAGACCATTATTTTTGATCAATCTAACTTTACGTCTAAGATCACTTTATCCTTGATAGCATGTAGCAATACGTCTACGCCACTAGCTCTTAGGACTTGGTGAAATTCGTTTTTATTTTCCACTGCCCAAATGCTTTCGTTCGATTTTTAAGACTCACATTATCTTTAGAGTCAGCCAAAGTATAATGGCTTAATATTTAGTCGACGCATGATATGTTTCTCAATAGATAGCTTCTAGAACAGAAACACACTCAGGGAATTCTGAACGCCATTAACTTCTTCTAGAGGTCAGATAGGAAAATTGAAAATTGATGTTGGAACTCACTTTTACATCTAGCAATAGCCTGACATCCTGCCAATGTCTTCAAGAGGCATGTGTAAGGAATTAAAGCGGTGTTCCATCTTCTATATCAGGAGCCAGTAAAGTAGTGTAATGCGTCAACAAAATGTAGTAGCAATTAAAAACACGAGCGATGAAGTAAATGGGTCGAATATTCCTTGCTATCTTTAGTGTTCAAAGACCAAGATATCCAATTACAGAGTATTCGCGAAATCTTGAATTTTATGAAGTGATATTTGATTCGAACAAATCGCAAAGCCTTATAGTCACAGGCCGACTTACCCACAGTTTCCGTACCGAACTCCAATAATGAAAGCCCCTTCACGGGATGAAGAGGCCAGGAGACTATAGTTTTTGGCATTGTTAACCAATATCTGTCCTGTATAATGTAACGCCAGTCCTTCCTTGAGCGCTTATCGAATTTTACCGGCCCACTTCTTTGCAACACCAATCTTTTTTTCCACTCGATCAATGTCGCCATCGACTCTCTTAAGCATTTCATTTTGTGCCTCAAGCTCATTATGCATAGCCAGACCCATTTCCTTTTGTCGACGAATAATTTTTGCTAGCTGCTCCACGCCATGATCCTGCTCTTGCATGATTCGCTTTTGTAGCATAAGAACACCTTCATTGTCTAGTTCTTTTGTAATTTCTGTTTCAGAGGATGGAATCCCCAAAATGCGTCCACTTGTCTTCGATGTGCTGGCTCCAAATAGGATATTCTTGTCTCTCGTCGCATTCGTTCCAGGATCGCCTTGCTCGCCTACTAATTGTGACTTTACTGCCAGACTGACTGCTAATTTTTCAAGACCTTCACGCTCTACTTTTGCACTACCCAATAGATCCTTTCTTCTTCTCAGCTCTCCTGCGCCAATTTGAGTCTCGGTATTTCGGTCCTCTGCTTCAACCATGGTAGCCAATCCTTCTTCAAGGTTTGCAATTAGACCATTAACCTTTACTAAGCACTTTTTGGCACTGGTCCCTGCCTCATACTGGGCTCGTGGAGTAGTTGCCCCGTCCCTCTGACCAAGGAACAATCTCGCATCATGTAGCTGGCCTTTCATCTCACGATGCACATCAAGCCATACGGTGGGATCAGCCATAAGTTGACCTGCTTGTGAATTGCGCTGACTTGCAGCGATAAGTTCTCCCTGTACACCACTGCCACTGAATTGGCTCGGAAGATTGAGGAATTTTCTCCAAACGCTTGTATCACGCCATCGATTGTCTGAACCTCCAGCTATAACGCGTAAATAATTCTCTAGTTCATGTCGTCGTGCTTCAGTGAGCGCAGGGGAAGAAACGGTAGAGTTAAACCATGATTTTACTGGCAGACGGGCTGGAGGCGCAGATGAGACTGCTACTGTTAGCGCCTTGTGTAAAGCAACAAATTCAGAATAACGTCTCTGAATAACAAAAGTACGTAGAGGGAGTCGTAAGCTGATGTTATAAAGGGTGAATGGCTTGGTAGACAATTCCTGCGAAAGCGTCGTGGAAGGAATTGCGATTTCTAGTGGAGACGTCATTGAAAATATACTTTGGAGGCGTTGGCCAGTATATCAATATGATCAAAGGATTGATGCTCAATCTTATATCAACTTGATTTGATTGAATTTAACGTCGTGCCTGTCCTCAGCTCCTGACACATGTCTCGCGCTGGACGGCTCAGTGCCTGCACAACTACCCGACGCTCTAGCGCGCGCTACAGCACCAGGAGTTACAGGATAGTCCAACTAGCTAGCCGCAGGAGGACAAAGGCGGAATACCTGTCAGTATTGTTCTCTACGAACCTGAGAGTGTAATATTCTCCCTGTGCCGAGATTTAGTTACAAAATAGGGTTGGAATAATTATTTTAGATGAATTTTCGACTTGAAGGAGTTGCACTTGATATTTTGGTCGAAAAATCAGTCGGCAGAGATTTCATAGCTGTATCAAAGTTGAACAAAAACTTATCACCACTAACATACGATTCGAGAATGAGCCTAGGTCTATCTGGGGATCGTATTCAAACAAATAACATTTCTAAAACTTCTCATTTATTTGTGACGAAGCATTTCTCAGTCGATTCTACACCTGCGACCAACCTCCACACTCGTCATATCACCTACCTACACATGCACTAATGAGGAAAGTCATGATGGAGACAGGACGTGTACAAAGGAGGAAGAAAAGGGAATATTCACCAAGACGATTATACAAATCCGCAATGACGACAACAACCCAACGGTACGATATGAAGGTACAAGGCTAGAGCATCAATGAAATCTTGGACGGCATTTAAATTTCGGAGTTAATGAGGATGTCAATGGCTCAGGCATGTGGTGGCCGAGGCTGAGGAAGGATTTGCGCTACGGCGTTTATACAGCGGGTTTCTGGACGGTCAGACTTGGTCTAATTCAGCATATAGGTGAAGTCTGAGGTGGTTTGGTCATATAGGTGGGATGAAATATGTTTGTAATTCACGGTATTTAACCTGATCCGGCCTGGGCACACTCGTGCCCAAGTTACAGTAGGAGTGCAACGGTAGTCACTTTACCTAGCACGTTAATGAACAACCAACCAATCAACCAGCTGTCCGGTCCTTGACTCCTAGGAGATATAGAGCATAGCTTAGGACCTAAAATTTGTATAAAAAAAAACCAGCTGTCCGCCAGGACGACGAAGGCCGAGCTCCTGTCAGTGGTGCCCTCTACGAACCTGGGAGTGAAATATTCTCCCAGATCCGAGATTCAGTCACGACAAAGGGTAGATTTAAGAGTTTTTGTCGAGTTGGCGATCGGGTGGAGTAGTGTTGGCTCATTTTTGGTCGAAAATCCGACTTGCAGAGATTTCACGACCGCGCAACTCCATGAAATCAACCATCTACACCCCAGATACGAACCGCAGACAGCCTATAACCTGTCTGATTTTCGTATCACAACAACTGAAACCTTTAAGATCTCATTATTTTTATCTCTGGAAAATCATTCCCAGCCAAACTCAGTTTGTGGCCCTCTCTACAATCATCTCATCACCTATCGAAGCAATCCCATACCCCCAAAAGCTAAATCGTCAAAAAAGAAGCAAGAAGATGACCTACCCTCCACTACTGCCAATCGCTGTGAAGGTACGGTCGAAATACCGGCCTTAAATGCGTCCTCACCTCGGCCAAGGGCACCAACAACTAGAGCGTTCGACAAAGACTGTAGCACTGGTGCCTGAGTCTTGAGCTCTCAGTAGCGTTTTCGACCTCCACGGCTAGGGGTACGACAGTGACAGGGCAAAGTCGGAGGGGTGGACATTCTACAAAGTTTCTGGGATGACGAGATCGGCTGAAGGATAGAGGGATGCTGCATGAAGGAACAAAAGGGAACATAAACTGAGGAGGCCTTCAATGATTAAAACGATATCTGGATGATATGAGGATATGCTGAGATCAGCCAAAGCTAGGAATGAATGGAAGGGAAAAGTTACAGATCGGCAAGGTGCCAAGGGCTCAGGCTCTCATGGATAAACGTAGTGGAAGCTAGGATGGTGTCTCATGGGAAGTTCCATTCCAAAACACAACTCAGTGTTAAATTGAGTTCCTAAACAGTTAGAAGAGACTCAGGAACATAGGGTCGTTTCATAGGAATTGTGTAGTAGGACTGTTCGAGACAGAGCTTAGGGCTGTCCTATTATCTGATGTACATATATACCCAGCGTGAAGGAGTATTCTTCTTCACGCAACTTCTTCTGTTTATACTCATACCTATTGTTCACATACTTATCTCTTCTCTAAAGAAGACCGCCGTTATTATACCATCCTCACCTATTACTTACTTTACCTTTACCTCTTCCGTGAACCGTATACCTAACGCTGACTTTATACCTCTTACTTTTAGGAATCACCACTATACTCTACGCCTATAACCTACTTGTACCCAACTCCCTACAGATTACCGATAACACAGTGCTTTGAGACAGGCGCCCGGTGGCCGAGCTGAGGAGGAATTTGCGCTTCGGCGCGTCAAAAGAGGGTTCTCTGGACGGTTGGGCTTGACATGATTCAACACATGGGTGAAGTATGAGGTGTTCCAGTCATTCAGGTGGGACGAGGTAGATGTAATTAATGGTAGTTTACCTGATCCAGCTCGGCCCCACTCGTGCTCATGCTCCTATAGGAGTGCGGAGGGTGCCAATCGCCTAGCACGTTAATAGTCAAACAAACAGCTGTCCGCTACTCTGCTTTCCAATTGAAATGTAGCAAATTTCCCTTTACCAGGATCTTTACATACGATTTACAAGTAGTTTGACATTATGCTCATAGGTTGTACACAATCTCCTATCAACGTTCCCATGAAACGTGTTTGCAGTTGACTTGCCCTCGTGATTTAGGTGCCCGTGACCTCCGTGATACGCCACTAGACCTTGATTGGCTAAATCGAATATCAAGGGCCCCACAGCGTGTGAGTCCGTGTGGGGTACAAGTTGGTCACAGCTCCCAGGATAACTGCTAGTGGGGTACATAAATACAAGAGCGTGGAAATACAGTTAATTGTATCGCTACAAACAAGATTTTGGGCGCGAAATACAGTATTCTCATTCGAATAGTCTGTTTTACCAATTTTATTGCTAGTCATGCATATCGTGCCACCTCAGATTTTTGGATTTAGTGGGAGGTCATGCAACTCGAGCTAACGAGGCATCAAGAAATTTCTTCGGTCATGTTGACAGTATCACATTCAGAATGTTTCCTGATCATCAAGGCCTTCGGCTTCAGCGGGTATCTCAAAACCATCTTCCGTAGAGTACAAAATCGTCTGAATATGTTTGATCAAGCCGTCTTCTTGCTTCTCGATTTCAGGATCTTCCTCACAAGCTTGCTGAACCAAAAGTTCAATATCCCGTAGTTTGCTGAAGTAGAAATCTCTCTCTCGTTCTAGGCCCTGTACTGTTTCTTTGAGAGTATTGTTCTCTTGTTGAATGGCTGCAGCCCCAACGCCTCCTTTGGCTAATCGTGCTCCGGTTGTAGGTGTGGTACCCCTACGTGCTGCGCTTGTGGAAGTTCTGGAAGTAGCGGTTGATGCTGGTGGTGGCGCACCTGACCCTCTTCGTCGACCTACCGCATCATAATCACCACCCGGAAAATATTGGTCCCAAAATTTTTTAGTCCACTGTAAGAACTCCAAATTATCTTGCATCTTGCATTTGATCAACTGCTCAACATTGACAGGTCGGTCGATACCATGGCGCGTAAAACAGTCTAGAAGAGAGGTCAACGCTTTGTAATTGAATAGATAGGATGACAACTTGCTTTGTAGGACTTTAAAGTTTTGTAGATATGCGTATTCAGTATTAACGTTAAATTTGACTCGAGACATAGGAATATCTAGGTAAATGCTGTCGAAGACCTGACATAGCGCAGCACTGTAATGATTCAGTCGTGAGGGTTAATGGTTTGCTTTCCACATAGACAAACAATATTGAGTCGCAGCAAGGGAAGAAAGACTGACCCAGTACCGCATTGCTCGACTTTTGTAATATTTAGAGAAAGTAGGTTATTGAGCCATGCCACCAATTCTTGCCTATAACCACCGGGAGATCAGAATGCCTACTTAAGATCTACCAGATTTGTAATTAAAAACTAACCTTGACTCTCCCATAATGAGAGGATAATCTGGGCGATGAAAAGAGTACAGATGAGGCTAAAAAGTTGTGAATTTCCAAGAGGATACAGGTAGTTTGAAGCCGCAGATCGTGGATGTTGATCGTATCCAACAGACAGCAGTCACTTACATCAACCCATGATAAATTCTAGTAGCGTCTAATCAAAGGAAATACATGACGGTCACGTGAGACGTGATATTAGTCGCAGACCTGTCTGTTTAGAGTTTACATCGTGATATTATTTTTGCATGAGTTCCTGCTAAGTCGAAGGTCACAAAGGACTTCTAAAACACATTAAAGACCGTAAGAACGTTAATTGAGTTTACAATGATATTTCTTCAACATTTATACTCGTGATGTTACGGATCAAGTCTTCCTTTTCGACAAGAGACTACTATCCTGATTATCGTCACTAGAACCCTTGGGTATTAGCAGTAGATTTCGACACCTTGAGGCTACCTGAATATGATCAACTTACGATATACTTAATCCCCCACAGAAATAAGTCTGTGTCCATATCCGAGTAAAAATTGAGAGTAGCCTCCTACATGCTTGCCACAAACCTAATTCAACTAACCTGATCAAAGAAGGGTGCAGACAATGCAGGAAATCCTAATGACGCTCAAAAATGGTCAGAATATTTGGAAAAAGGTAGATTCCTGCAATTTTCAGCATTTTGCAAGGAGACTTTCAAGACCCAAAGCACCCTCTATTATATTAAAATGTTGTTGATTGACTTATATTGTGACTCTCTACAACTCAATGTGAAACTCCTGCTATTGTTGCATAATTCTCCGTCCGCAATAGCATGGTACCACAGTTCCTTCGTGCTAGGATCCTAAAAAATCACATACTGGTTCAATAACAAGAGAACTAGAGCTTTTCAAGAAATTCACAGCGATGTAAAGCAAAAATCTGCTGTATTTCTTATGCTCAATCAAGTTGTCATGGGATTGAATCGCGCGAAAATAGCGCCGTCAATAAGAAAAGCCAGAAGCTGAGGATTTCTAGATCATAAGCAAATATCATACACGTAGGTGTCGAATGACGCCAGCTGGTAAACTTTGAGCTCATTTTAACGGCGATATTCAAGCCAAACGAGTGACTATCTACGCTAGGGTCTAGCGATTGACTTTGATATGAATAAGTATCATTCTAGCTAGGGTTGGATGGTGCAGTGGTACACCATCCGGGCCGTTCTCCCAAGTAGATACTGGGTAGCTTGAACACCTGCCCCATTCGAGACAGGAGAAAGCTGGTTCGAATCCAGTAAGATACACACACCACACTCTCTCGCGGTGATTTTATACCTGTGGGATGATGAAAGCACACTCGAATAGCCACAGGTTTTTCACGCTTTTCCCTGCGGTGGGTATGCACGGAAGAGGTTATACGCCGTAAGGGTTAACCTCAAGTGGTATCTGCAAATGAAATCTGAGTATGAGTGTTCTAAACGTCAAATTGAGTCATCCTACTCAAAGTACATATCTTTCGATAAAACCTGCATGGGCCTCAGGGCGCCAAATCAGGATAATGAATAATAATTATTATTATTATTGAATTTTGAATTTGATTTCATTTAACCCGATCAGGCACCCTATGGGTCCATGCAGGTGACTATCTTCATTATTTACAAAGGGGGAAACTAATTTGGTGAAAACCCCCTGATCCTGCCTGTTTAATAGCTATCAAACTTTCCTAGATTACCTTCAGGCAGTGCATTTTACACTGTTAAGCCAGTGTGGACTCCGTTCTCTCCCCTTCCTGATCGATTCATTTTTCCGACATTGCTGCCTCCACTTCCCCCGCAAGTCGAAACTGTTTTATCCATCCTTTGCTCAGTATCCACTGTGTGATTCGAGCGACATCCTCTAGACTGTTCATCATTGCTTCAAATGACCTATCTTTAGCTTGTCGGAGAACATCGCCTCTTCCACTTGCCCACTGCGGACACGCCAATAGCATGTGCTTGACGTTCTGTGACGGATATCCACATTGACAGCGAGGGTTTTCTACTCCGGGTACCTTTCTTCTGTATAGGTAAGAATTGAGGCCGATATGCTCGCTTCTTAGCTGAATCGCGACACTGCTTTGGGCCCTGCTCAGGTTACGGTGGATACTTAAAGGTGTACCTCTGAAGTTAATTTTTGTACTGCCTGTTTTTTTATCGGTGAATATATTTGCGGCTTTCCGATGTTCTGGATCGGCTGGTGCTAGTCGTCCCGAGCGCTGCTTCCTATTAATGCCTGTCCATAGATTTTTCCACTCCTGGAAGGCCGCTATCTTTCCAGCTTCTTTTTGCCTCCCCTTGTCCTTTTCCCTTCCACAAATTCTTGTCCATTCGGCGATATCTTTACTCCTGTTCCAGGCATGCGAGGTCTCTCTCCTGTTTACGGGCAGCTTTATCCTGATACATGTCGATTGTATTGTCTGTTGTACAGGGAGTTTGGATGAAAGCCCGACGTGTTGGACTCTCCTTTGTTTAAGGTATATTTCTATGGGGAGAACCGACGATTCGTGCTCTAGCACTCTGCTGCTAGTATAATTGTTGGCACCTGCAACAAGTTTTAAGCATTTTCTTTGAATACTTCTGAGGGGTTTAACTATCCTTTCAGGTATCTTTCCTGTTGGCCCGGCCTCGGCCCATATTGATGACCCATACGTGAGGGCCGGTCTCACTATTGAACTGTACAGCAGCTTAGACTTCATGAATGTCGCTCCCTAGGTTGATTGTGCCAGTCTACTAATTGACTGCATTTGGGTGCACGACCTTTGCTGAATATTCTTAATGTTGGCCCCCCAATGCAGTTTTGGGTCAAAGAAGACTCCGAGAACACGAAGAGATGACTGTGGCGAAGTTAGGTGTCCTTGTATACTCACAGTGGCATTGAGGTTATGTCTTTTCCTTGCTCTTGTGAAGTGCATCAATTGGTACTTCTCCGGCGCAAATTTTACTCCATGTTTCTTTGCCCACTCTTCGCATATCCTGTGCTTTTCCTCTAAAATTCGGCAATTTTCTTCAGTAGAGCTTGACCATGTTAGTATATTAGTATCATCCACTAATCCTACAGCTGTACTAGCGTGGGTTTGGAGCATCGGTAGGAGAGTGCTGACAAAAACCAGGAACAGAATTGGCGACAAAGATGACCCTTGAGGTATACCTGTGTTAGTAAAGATTTGGTCCCCTTTGTATGACCCAAGGACTACTGAAGTTGTTCTGCCGTCTAGGAAGGATTTTACAAAGTTACTTATCCATCTTGGAATGCCCTTTTCCCTTAGGTTGTGAATAAGTCTTTCGTGAGAGACATTATCAAAGGCCCCTGAGATATCAAGACTAAGAAGTGATGCGACTTTCTTTTTGTCTTTACCCCATATGGTGTGGATCTGTTCTGTAAGGAGCTCGACTGCCGAGATGGTACTTCTCTTAGGTCGTGCCCCCATCTGTTCCTCTGGAAGTAGGTTGAAGTCCTCAGCGGCTTTAGAGATGCGGTTGGCCACTAACTTCTCGAGAAGCTTTCCCATTGTATTCAGAAGTGCTATTGGTCGATAAGACTTAGGAGTGTCGTATCTTGGCTTTTGTGGCTTTCTGAGGACAATTGTTGTTGATTCTTTGAATCTCTTTGGGTGGTATCCCAGGCTAATGCATGCATTGAATAGCTCTGTAAGATCTCTACTTAGGGTTTTCCTGCATTCTTTGAGGAGTTGATTTGGGATCCCATCTGGACCTGGGGCTTTATTGTTTGGAAGCTTTCCAAGGATTTCTTCGACCTCTGCCTGAGTTATGGTGTTAGTAATACCCTCCAACTCTTTAGGATAGATAGTTCCAGCAATATCTCCTGCATCTGCTGCCACAGGTTGGGGAAAGAAGTGCGCTGCCATAGCTCTGGCTATATCGGGAGGATCGGTATGAATGATTCCGTCTGCGCCTTTTATCTCCGAAATTTGGGGTAGCCTTTGTCTTTCCTCTGGATCTTTTCTTGCCCATTTGGCAAGTTTCCATATTTTTGTTGGATCCCGGGAAGCCTCGGAAACTGCTGCCCTCCATCCAATTGTTTTTGCTTTTTTTATTTGGGTCTTTTTTCTGCTCGTAGCTTTTTGATATTCTATCCAGCTTTTTTCGGTTCCTCGATATTTCCATGCTCTTCTAGCCTTTCTTGTGTCTTTTACCGCCTCCGAGCATTGGATCGTCCAGTAGGGTTTGGCAAATTTTGAGGGTTTGGCAATTGGTATAATTTCTTTGGCTATGTTCTGGATAGCCTCGGTGATGGAGACTACCCTCTGGTCGATAGTTTGTCGAGAGTCGAGGTTCAAGACGTCTGCCCGTAGCTCAAGTAGCTGGATCGCCAGTCTTTCATTAAATTTTACCCAGTCTGCCCTTTTCCATTGGAGACGTGGTTCTGGTGATTCATCTACTTGCGGTTGGATTGAAATTTGCGTGGTTATAGGAATATGGTCGGAAGATGCTTCGAGATTGCTATCTGGCTGGCAAGTTATGACTTCGTCATCAAGCTCCTTCGATAGAAAGACTAGATCAAGCGTACTCTGACTTCCCCTATTATTCCAAGTGATGGTCCCCTCCGGAAGAATTAATTCCATATTGTTGTCTCCTAGTATTCCTATTAAGTCTTCAGCTAAACTATGATGCCTTAGAACTGATTGCCCCCCCCATCTAGGGTGGTGTAGATTGAAGTCCCCCACGAGGATATGTTGGCCTTTTTTAGAGAGAAGCTCGGGGAGATATTTTAGAGACCCTAGATCTGTGCTACTGTGAGATAGGGTAGGAGGATTGTATACATTAGTAACGAATATTTTGCCTCTGTTAGTCTGCATACTGATGGAGGTTATATCTCCATCTGCCTCTGCTGGGGTTTTTTCCTTTCTCCACTTTGTGATTGCAAGATACTTACTTATGTAAATACATGTCCTACC